TCTAACGGAAAATTTTCTAACGGAAGAAAATTCAATTCGACAGACGAAGTCCGAAGAGAGTTGAATATTTCTATGACAGGGTAATTCCAGGACTAGTGCTTTTTTTCAAGGATGGAATTTTCAAGCTTGTAGATGGATGGGAGGAGGTCATTAGACGAATTATTACCGGAGACCATATTGATGATTAAAATAAAAATACTTTTTGTGAAAAACAATTTTTTTCCGTTTTACATAAAATATGGAAGGACTTTCTACCAACCAACTTGATATATCTCACACATGTTAAATTCGTATTAAAAATTAATTTATGGATAAAGAAAGATCTCTTTGAGTTGCAAGACGTAAGATATGTTATACTTTAGAAATTATTATATCGTTATCTTATTTGTATGGCTTTTTTCTTTGCTTTAATTAGGCGTCTATTAAGCGTCTTTATGACCACTGCAACGTCGTACTTGATTTCTTTTAACGAGCACAATCTTGAATATCTGTTATATTCGTAATATATAAGGTAACGTGTAATATATAAGGTAAATTGTAATATATAAGGTAACGTGTAATATATAACGTGCAATATATAAGGTAAATTGTTTTTTTTGAGTCACTATATGCGACAAGCAAGTGACAATTTACTACGCGACCTCGTGCGTCTACTCTCGGGAGAGTACATTTCCTACTTTCTCCGCGATTCGTTCGTTGCAGATTGTGTGAGTATTTACTAGTCTACTTACAAGTGCCCCGCGTAGCACGCGTGCAGATCTCTCACTCTCTCTCTCTCTTTCTCTCTCTCTCTCTCCCTCTCCCCCTCCCCTCCCTCCCTCTCTCTCTCTCTCTCTCTCTCTCTCTTTCTATGGTATACATAACACCCGCTTACGGGATAAATCGAAGAGGATTTATTTGCGGGAACGTTGATTTGTTTATGTAATCGAGATGCTGCCTTGGTGCAGCTTGATGTTGTCGCAGCATGCATCATGCAATTTTCGAAGAACATTATAGTTCATGGCAAATATTCCCAGAGAATATAATATTTCTTTTCATTTTTACTTTATAATTAATATATCTCTCAGTTCAGTATTCTATAAAAAGAAAAAATCCATAGTATTTGGTCTGAAATTCTTTAAATATGCAAGCGCGCAATTTTTTAGTAGCCCCGTGTAGATAGTTATTATTGTTAATACAATTTTTATCTTTATAGATAATTTGTTTTTTTTTTCGTATTAAAGTATTATTTTTCACAAAAAGAGGAAAAGGAAACGCAGGTATGTTCGTTTTTTACAAAACATTTGTTTGCACAGTATTAGATTAGATGGCATTAGATTGAATTATCAGCAAACGAAGAAGTTTTAGAGCTTTCTCGGTGTCATTTCTCTTGCCAGCTCCCCGCTCGCCGCTCGCGCAGTGATAGACATGGTTTATCATATTCCGCCATCGGCAACCGTTGTAACATGAACTTCCTCACCTTCTCTAGTCGCCGTACTTCCTGCACACCGACCGGTAATGTTGCTTTTACAGCTCCTCGTGATCATTATCTTGCAACGGCGACGAAAAAACGTTCACCGCGAGATTTTTCGTGTATGTTGTAGATCGTAACATTTATGTTATTACTAGCATATGAAACAATGTATTAGAGGTACCGGAAAGTCTTTTCATGTTACCATGTTCTTCATTTGGTTCAAACGCTGCCATTTTCCAAGAATAAGTTCGGTCTTAATGAAAGTTGATATACACAATAAAGAAATGTTGTTAACTAACTCGGAATTTGAATTAATTCCGGATTTTTTCCCGATTAATTCCGGAAATTAAGAATTCATACTATAACCACGGAAATTGAAGACTTTAAAGTACGAAAAGATTTTCTGGTAGCCCTAATAATTAGTATCTTTGAATATTCGTAATTCGTACCAATTTTTCTTTCATAAAATTGATTACATTTTATAATATATAAATACCTTGGCCTATGAAATGTGTTAACGATACTAAAAATCGATATAGAGCAAATTTCTGTTAATGTAATTAAATTTTCCATTGATTGAGAAGAAAGGATCAAGTAGAAAATAGAAACACAAAGATTTCTATAGAAGATTAATTAATTGTTTTTAAGTTACCTTATAATCGAGTTTTAATTATGGATTTATATATTATATATACACTGTAAGAAATGATGTGTTAAATTTAATATATTTCATGTGTCTCAAATCATCCACTTTCGTTTATGTATTAATTAAACATACAACAAATATGTTGAAATGTAACACGCATAATATATAAGAACTTAACACAAAAATTCAACATTTGAATGCCATTAAGAATCACAGTTTGTGTTAAATTGACATAAGATAAATGTTATTTCAATATTTGGGAAATATAATAATCTATGATTTGATGAAATGAAAATGTTAGATTGACATAATCTATGTGTTAAAAATCCAATCTTTATATAATATAACACTTTATATATATATATATATATATGGTAACTGTCATAATGAAGAAAGTAACACATTTTAGGTATTGACTTTAACATGTCATAAAATATGTCAGAGCAAGAATTCATGCATTTACATATAAATTGTGTTATTTTAACAGTTGAAAATGTTATTTTAACACTTGAAAATAGTTAATTTTAATTTAATACAAGAAAGTCTGAGTAACACAACAACGATATGTTAACCCATTAACGCTCAAAAGTCCTAAAATATTAGCCTTACTTTGCAACTGTATTTTATGTAAAAAATATATTATATAAGATTGGAATAGCATTTCCTTATGTTTTCGGGGTCGTTCTACATTCCGGCATCAAAATTCATTTAGATTCACAATAAAATCCAATATGGCGGAATTTTGGAAAACAGTTGTGAAAAGTCGACAATTTTATTTTTTATTAGCTTGATTTCGTAATCAAAAACGTTACTTTGATACAGATACAAGTGTCACATCTTGTCTAAAAAATGTTGAACTTTCAAGGCATGCATTAGTGAAAATGTGAATTCAAGATGGTTGCCTCAAAATGGCGGTTTGAGCGAAAAAGACTTAAAAAATAATGTATTTTTAGAATAACTTCGCAAAATCCTAATATTTAGCATCAATTTAGTATCCAGGATACTGATTTTAGGATATTTGCTGACAATTAATTCATATTAGAGAATTTCAAAATGGCGGATCCAAGATGGCGACTAAAAGGCACGAATAATCGAGAAAATTTCCAGATTTTCATGAATTTCCTTCTATTATTTTCATATTCATGAATTATTTTCGAGACGTACACACGCACATATATAGGGTGGGTGATTATAAACTTACAAACTTTATAAAAAACAAAAAACATCGAGATAAGTACAATGGACGGGAAAAAATTGGAATCGACTACGTAAAGTTTTGAGAAAAATTGCTAAATAAACGAGCGAATAAACGCTCAGTGGGCATGCGTTCTGGGCATCGTAAGCATGCTACTCTCCATGGGCTGGGCCGGATTGGCAGGCAATAACAGTGGACCTGGACCGGCGCGCGCCGTTGTTACCTGTCAATCCGCTCCAAGCTATGTAGAGTAGCAGGCCTGCGATGTCCGACCATTGCGCATTTATTCGTTCATTTATTTAATAATTTTTTTCAAAACTTTACGTAGTCGATTCCAATTTTTTTCCTGTCCGTTGTACTTATCTCAATGTTCTTTTTGTTTTTTTATAAAGTTTGTAAGTTTATAATCACCCACCCTATATATGTGCGTGTGTACGTCTCGAAAATAATTCATGAATATGAAAATAATAGAAGAAAATTCATGAAAATCTGGAAATTTTCACGATTATTCGTGCCTTTTAATCGCCATCTTGGATCCGCTATTTTGAAATTTTCTAATATGAATTAATTGTCAGCAAATTTCTTAAAATCAGTACCATGGATACTAAATTGATGCTAAATACTAGGATTTTGCAAAGTTATTCTAAAAATACATTATTTTTTAAATCTTTTCGCTCAAACCGCCATTTTGAGGCAGCCATCTTAAATTTACATTTTCACCAATGCATACCTTGAAAGTTCAACATTTTTGAGACAAAATGTGACACTTGTATCTGTATCAAAGTAACGTTTTTGATACGAAATCAAGCTAATAAAAAATAAAATTGTCGATTTTTCACGACTGTTTTCCAAAAATTCCGCCATATTTGATTTTACTGTGAATCTAAACGAATTCTGATGCCGGAATCTTATAGAATGACTCCAAAAACATAAGGAAATGCTATTCCAACCTTATATAATATATTTCTCTATATAAAATGCAGTTGTAAAGTAAAGCTAATATATTAGGACTTTTGGGCATTAATGGGTTAAATTAACACACGACTGTGTAACAAATTTAATACAAAACTTTCCACATACACAAAATTCTAACAAAAGTATGTAACGTTTTTAACTGTTTTAACTGTGAGGCTGCAAAGACTATATCTGAAGAAGATGTTTGTGCCATAAGTATCCGATCTTAGTCTTTACATATTTATTTACACGTTATCGTTTCTACACATAATGACAACAAAAACGTGACATTCCGAAATCGCGAAAGCTCTCTGTGGCGCCTTTTTCTGCCACTCGATGAGCCGTTTGTTCGCGATTTTCCTGAACTCCGAGAGAGAGTGGGGCAGAAGAAAAGGAAAAAAATGGCGAAAAAATTACTGTCGATCACGGGCTGCCCACATGCAGCCGAGCGCTCAGCCGCGATACATGTGCGCGCTGGTGTGCGACGGTATGTCGGTGAGTCCACGCGCGTACGCGTGGGAACACCCAGGTACACAGAAACGAACCTCTCACATTCACTCACACGTGCCCCCGCTCACGTTCACGCGTGATGTTTAGAAAGTCAACGGCAGCGAGAACACCGTCACCATCGTCATCATCGTCATCGTTATCATCATCGTTGTCATCGGAGGAGGTACACCTTGGTACCAGAAGGTGGTAAGCAACCAAGGAAGGTATACGCCGGGCTTAGGTGGGGGCATCTCTAAGCTAGCGGTGCCAGCGCTTCTTTGACGCTCATTACGCGCCGACCCGTCGAGCTATCGACACCGGGTGTACCGGAGCAGCGAGAGGGTTTTGAGATCGTCCATTGGGAGCCGACTCAGGAAGAGAAGCAGGATCAGGAGAGAAAGGTGGGAGAAAGAAACGAGACAACGACGTTTCCAAGCACGACCAGTCACTTTTGTGCTACGTGGATCTGGTTGGAAGTACCGTACACGTAGAAGACGAAGAAAAGATGGAGAAGGAACAGCCGGACTCCCTGGCGACGGTCGCCGTCGTTTCGGAAAAGATACCTCAGGCTCACAGCCACTATGCGCCCAGTGAGGTCTATTCCACCACCGAGCCGCCACCGGTAAGTCATTTTTAAAAGATGTACATTAGGGAAGATATATATAGAATATATACCCTTTACGAATTTTATGACTTATTCTTCGTCCATATCATGTAAAGAAAGATCCACAATGACTTTCATCAAATTCTGATTAAACCATTCAACGATTAATTCTGCTACCAGAGTTGCCAACATGGAAATTAAGAGAAAGTCTTTTTTTATTAAAACAAGTATAAAGTTTTCGTATTCTTTTTAATTTTTTTTATGTTTTTCTATAACTTGTATCAAAATTTAGTCAAATTTAGACAAATTAGTTAAGTATCAACTGCTTTATTCTGCTAACATATATAGAATAATTAATTTTTTTAAATTATTGTCTCAGGTGACAAATTAAATAGTTAAAAATTGCTGCTGGCAATTCTGTCAGTTAATCATTAATTAGACTAATCAGAATTTGAGAGAAAGTTACTTAACGAGCCAAAGAAGCTACACAAGTAGTGCGATTAAAGTCAACACGTTTCCACATAAAACAGCACCGCCTTAAAAAAAAATAAAATGAATATCCCCGTCAATGATCAAATAACTTTATTGTTAAAATAAATTAATGATATACATCTTAATATTAAATATATATATACGTTTTAAATGTATGCGTGTGTGTATAGTATGTTAAGTACATAAAATTAATTTCATTGGAAATCTTGAACATTTGGAATTTAGTTGTGTTACATTTTTTTCTAGTTTATGGAAAGATTTTAATTTATTTGAAACATTTTATCGGAAATAACTAAAGTATCATTTTGTGACATGATAATTTAGGTTTTTTTTTTATTGACAGTTTAGATTTGAAGAAGTTAAAGAGTAGCTGCATAGATCCAATAAATTTGACATTTGATATTAACTGTTAAATCCTCTACGAAGTCGATGAGATTTATTTGAATTATTCGAACTATCGTCATGACTAATACGCTCGTAATTATGATGTTCCAGCATTTGCTGCAGATTTTAATTTTACCCGAAACTTGTTATAATCGGTAATATATAAAATTTAAAGGGAAAACACACACAATACACATGTTTTGAATAAATATGGGTCCACATATTAGCTGATTTATTTAAAAAAAGAATGGCAAAATATAATTATCATCAATTAGGTCATTATCAATAATTGAAATATTCACTTTAAAGGTGAGCATGAAAATGTACATGGACATGAACGATGGAAACTTTATCGTTTCGGGTTGCACGTTGTTGTTTTTTTAAGATTCCCTGCGACAAATGAATCACGGAAAATCTGCGCGCGCGATTCAGAAATGTAATTCTTCCGCTTGAATATGATAGATGACAGGTGAAATTTCTCTTTAAGGGACATCTTCTATCTCTATCGGAATTCCGTATATGTGTCGCTGTAATTAAGAGAAAATAACTTCCTTATAGCTGGTATATATAAGTGTAAGATCACACATACAATACAAGCGAAATACGACGTCGGCCTTGGTGAAATTGTGTCGCGGTAACCGAATCATCGGATAATTTCGAACACGTGCGGTTAATTTAGCATGGAAAGACGGTATAATAACGGGTGATGTGGAAATAATTACAATTGCAATTCGTCAATTGACGTCCTATCATGATTGAACTTCGTTCAATAAAGTCACAACAAGGAAGTCACTAGTGAATTTCTCAAGGCGCTCTTTATTTGGTCGGAATGATCCATATAAACTCTGTCTCGTGCTTATGTAACAGCATCTTCGCCACTACTGACGCTAATGTCAATTGATTAGTTTTTCGATTAACTGTCGCTGTATATATGCTCTCATATACGTTAATTCGTGCGATTAGCTTCTTAGCATTTGAACGGACGATCTTGAGAAAGTCGAGATAGAGTTGACGGTTTAGTATAAAACGAAAGTAGGTCGTAGTGAACAACAATGAAGTATCCGTGGAAGTATACATTCGTCTGCGAAATAGTGTGAACACTTCTGTTTCGATCAAGTTAGAAGCTTATCGGATGATCATGATCGCGAGCCACACGAAGAGAAAAATCGCTGTTTGTATAATTGAATGAGGACGAAAACTTGCGGATGGAAAATGGTATATTTGTCACTGCAATCAGAAATATTTATCTGAATGTTCAGTTATATTATAACTCGGTTGTAATAAGTGGAGAGCAAGTGACTGAGTAGAAGCCTCCTATAGGAATCTTTCTGTTCCTATAATAAAATTTTCGTCTAGTCTCTGAACAATAGAAAATTATTATGAACAATAGAAAATTATATTAACAAGGTAGTCTGTTATATCGAGAGCGATAACATATGAGATATTTGACGTTAAAACTGCAACGGAATATTCAAGGATAACACAAACATCTTTATCTTTATCTGTCAGATAATATCAAATACTTGCAAAAGTTTGTCGGATTGCAAATAAATAGAAGTTACTGCAAGTTGACAGTTTTGTTCTTTTACAGAGCTTCATAAATAAAAAAAGTGCTTATTCACGACCTTAAAATTTATCTATGGCATTTTAAGTAATAATGCAACCTCATTTTTATTATAGGTAGAAATGGAAGGAATAAAGTACATCTACCCAACATTATTATATTTAACTAAATATTGTTAATTGGAAAAAAATTGCTGTGGAAACAAATACTTATTTGCCAGACATTTGCTACGTTCAGCGGAGAAAGCTGCTTTACAACTGTTGTAAAATTCGTGAATCTGATTGGTGCATGCTCTTAGATTTAAGTAAATATAAGAGCATCGCCAATTAAAATTACGAAGTTTACAACAGTTGTAAAGCAGCTTTTCCTGCTGAACGCAGCCATTGCCCCATCTGATTTTCACTTATTCAAGTCGATGCAATTCGATTTGTCCGGTACGATTTGCTAATGCCGAAGAAATCCAAAAATGAATCGATAATTTCATTGTCTCAGCAAATGCATTGTTTTTTTAGAAAGGGATTGGACAATTATCTGGCAGTGACAGCAAATATTTTGATTAAAATAAATATATATGGTTTTTTACCGTTAATTAAATAAATATATTTAAAAATCCGACGAACTTTTGCAAGCATCTAACAGAATAATAAGGAACACTTTATCGTTTATTATTACTCTGGTTTCTATCATAACCGATTACCACGCAAGCCTATAAACAATAGTTCGCAAATGCGATTATTTGATTCATGAGAGAAAAAAATATAAACCATTTCGCAAACGAGTGCACATTTTTCACCGTCGGAATTTGTATGTAAATTCGTCACATTGGCGCCGTGTTAAAACGCATCGTGTCGCGTTTGTGAAGAGCCTGGAACGAGCATACACGTACAAATATACTCGAACCTAACATCTCAAGTAAATATTTATGGTGGGGTATTCATTATTATCCTGATCGCGAATATTGTTCTTTTGAAAGTGAACGCGCACGAGCGCAAATACGCGTGAACCTCGCGTCATTAATACGAAATACCACAGCCACATAAGATAATATTACATGATATGCATAATCTTGTGATTGTTATTTCGTGATTCGAATCAACCGTGAATTATATATAAGTTGCAATTAGAATGTACCGCGTTTTATCGATTGATATTACCGGTATATATAGTATATATGTATATGTTATTACTTTTTTGTGAAGTCTTTTTATTCGTGCGAGAAACCGACAAGTAAATAATTTTTTATTTGATAAATATAGAATCAGTATCGAATAATATGATTAAAGATGTATCATTGCAAGAAGATGCAGCTTGTGAACGGTTTATTGCGTCTTATATAGATCTGTAAAGATAAAGTATGCAGAATACGATTGAATGGTGGATTACTCGAGAAGTAAAGGATCTTCGAAGAAGTGCGAGAAATTGATTGAGCGGCGAAAGAACATTCAGGATGCAGTAATGCCATTTTCTTAGAAAACGCGCTAACGATCCATGGAATCTGTCGAGATAGAAGATATAGTTTAATACAGCGTAAAACGCCGTAAACAGCTCGTAACTTTAGAAATCGTCATTATTGTCGTCGGCAACACGACGATGTTTGCGACGGTAACGATGTATAGAGAAATTATTTGTCGCTATCCTTCTCTTGGAAAGTTTATCTGATACGGCACAGTTTAATGCGCTTTAGTGATCTTAGATTTGCTCAAAGAGAAACATTAAATTCTTTAATTACAAAATTACCTTCATAAAAAGCGCGCAGAGATGAACCGTACACTTCTGTGAAAGTTCTTTTACAACATAATTGCGCAAACTCGCAATCACGTTTGATCGGCGATTTTCTACTCGCGCTCGCGATTGTCTACTTATTATCGATTATTTCTTAGGAAGCAAATCCAGATTACTCGCTGACATTTAATAACGGAATGGAACCAATGGACGATAATCCAAAAAATTAAGCATACATTGCAGTTAGCAACTATCGAATAAATGCGATCATTGGTAGCAGCAATTTTTATTTACTGGCAACGAAGAAAAGTTTCTTGCGTCGCACACACGGGCTTGTTTACCTTCAGAGGTGCATTTTTCTCAAGCAAAATGCAGAAAATTGCAGATAACACGCTATACAATGTAGAGAAGAAGGGGGAGAGAGAGGGGAAGATGACACGTGAAATTCGTGGGTGTTCGGTTACACTGGAAAAACACAGAGAATTTAATTACGGAGATTAAACTTCTTAATTCGTATTTATGATGAAAAGGATAGCCCGAGATGTATGCACTTCCGTCGTGGAAATCACGAGACTTGTCGCCATTAAAGATGAACATTTAATTGGATAACGAGACAGTTTGGGAAGAAACGTCGTCGAAATAAAAAGAGAAGAAAAACCAGAGGGACACTGCTATATAAACGCGGTATATACATCCTTTCTGAGAACATTCGACTTCCTGTCTATCGTACCGTCTTGAACGTGCGCGATGTTTCTGTGTATCAATAAGCGAGTGAGTATTCACATTAGGGTCGGACGGATATTGCGAGTTTTTGAAGAACCAATTTTAGCAGCTTTGAGTTGAGACTGTTATGCAA